AATGAACAATACATCCATTACAGTAGTTATTCATCTTTGTTGATAATACATATTACAGCTGTTCATTATTAGCTCAAGTCCATAAAAGTTTTTAAAGGGATAATTCACTTAAAAAAAATTTAAAACCTGTCATCATCTTCTCATCCTCATGTTGTTCCAAACCCATAGGACTTTGGTTAATCTTTGAAACACAAGTTAAGATATTTATTTAATGAAACCTGAGAGGTTTCTGTCCATTTATTGAAAGTCCAGGTAACCAAAACTTGTAAAAGGTCATAAAGGCGTAAAACGAATCTAAGTGGTTTAATCCAAGTCTTGTGAAGAGGGTATGATCGCTTTATATGATGAACAGATTTAATTTAGGCTTTATTTACATCTAAATTTTAGACATGCATATATAGCATGTCACACATGTTAAACACAGAAGCTCAAAGATTCTAGAACAAACCTCATTGGCTCTGGTGCATCACACTCACATTACGCATACACAAACTTTCGTGTTTACCATTTGTGATTCAGTCTATGTTTGTGTTTATTTGTGAATAAAAGCCTAAATTAAATCTGTTCATCATATACAGCCATCATATCTCTTCACACGTGATGGATTAAACCACTCGATATATATGGATTTATTAAATTAATTTTACGATGCCTTCATGAACTTTTCGGATCTTCTAAGTTTTAGTTACCTGGACTTTTAATGGACGAACACGATTAATAAACTAATAAATGCTTTAGAAGTATTTTTCCATTGTTAGTTCATGTTAACTAATGTAGTTAATGAACTTTATTGTAAATTGTTAACGTTTTCATCATTGTGCTGTACCAACATCTTTGTTTCAATGTATTTAATTTGTCACAATAATTTATAGCATGTCCTTTCTACATGATTGTATGAGTTTTAAGAGTTTATCCAGAATTTCTTCTTCAGCAATATACAGTTATATAACGATACTTCATGAGCAAAACTGTATTATGGCCATAGCTCACAGCAGGTAATCAATGACAACTTTCTGTTTCTAAGAAGTTATTTGAAGCAGGGCTATTGCTTTGATATATAAAATATAATGTATCTGCTTTTATTCAATTAACAATCAGTTAATATTGAGTACATTTTAGACTCTGTATGTCCAGTCATTTTGTCTGTGTTTGTTCCAACAATGAAAACTACAACACAGTGGGTCTGTAGTGTCATTTCGTTCTTGAATGAATTGGTACAGTCAATTAGTTGATAAAATGATTCAAATAACAGTCTTATACATTCACTTGCTTTGCTCCTGAATGAGTCAGAGTTTTTGAATTAATCAGTTTAGTGAACGATTCAAATGACTCACTCCTAAAGACAGTCATTTGCCGCCACCTACTGGCATAATGATGTAACCTGTAGAAACACTAACTGAAAAAATAGACCGGAACTGTTATTATAAAATAAAGAGGTCAGAAACAAAACTCATCACTGCAGGCAGTCATTTTTTTCTGTTTTTATTTTATATTATCTTAATTTAAAATATTATGTATATATAATTTATAAAAAAAAAAAAACGTACACTCTCTAGACCAGCTAATTCTGTTCTTTAAGATGGTGCAAATCAACAGGAGCTCTATGATCTACATTGAAAAGATCTGTTTTAAGCATGTAACATCACAAAGGGAGCAAGTCTTCATTTTCCCAGATTCATTAAAAGAACACCAAAACAACAACCCACCATATACAACTGAATTCTTGTAGCTAAGCAGCATATCCGAGGAGTACGTAATTCAAAGATTGTTTCCTCTTTGAATATACAACAGTCTCTGCATTGCTGTGCAAAGCTGACTCCTTCCATTCATTTTGTGTGCTTTTAAAGCATGCCTGTTGTTCTGCAAGCAAAAAGAGAATATCTGAGAACCCGAGGAAGGAATTAATTATCTTAATTTAAAATATTATGTATATATAATTTATAAAAAAAAAAAAACGTACACTCTCTAGACCAGCTAATTCTGTTCTTTAAGATGGTGCAAATCAACAGGAGCTCTATGATCTACATTGAAAAGATCTGTTTTAAGCATGTAACATCACAAAGGGAGCAAGTCTTCATTTTCCCAGATTCATTAAAAGAACACCAAAACAACAACCCACCATATACAACTGAATTCTTGTAGCTAAGCAGCATATCCGAGGAGTACGTAATTCAAAGATTGTTTCCTCTTTGAATATACAACAGTCTCTGCATTGCTGTGCAAAGCTGACTCCTTCCATTCATTTTGTGTGCTTTTAAAGCATGCCTGTTGTTCTGCAAGCAAAAAGAGAATATCTGAGAACCCGAGGAAGGAAGTAGGCTAAAAACAGAGGAAAGGGAGAGAAACTCAGAGAGATCAGGCCACTCTGTTGCTGTAGCTGATTGTAGTCTAGTCTAGTCTCAGAGCGCCTGGCGCCAACGGAGCAGGCCATAAACTTCTAGACGATAGCGAGAGATAGAGCTCATACTCTTACTTGTGCGAGTAAACAAAGAGTTTACTTCACTTAGCATGCAATTCCCTTTGCATTTGTGCAGCACAGTCGATGCAAATGAAGTTATTTTGTGCCTCGTCATTTCAGAACTATTATCTTCAAAGTGGCACACAAGAATAAATGATTACAATAACACAGGTAAAAACGTGTACAACTGTGGACCTCTGCTGAGATTCAAGTACGCTTCAGGGGAAAAAAAGAAAGAAAAACAGAGGCAAAGATGTACAAACACAGACAGAGAGATATGAAGATTACAAGTGTTTGCGTTCATCAGTAAACCTGCATAACCAGAGACAGGCGTGTCCCGTCAGCAGTAATAGACTTTGCGTGCAACTGTGCCAACCAGTGTTTACGTCAGTGGGTACAAAGACTACATCTAATCTCCAGGAGAGAGGCACAGAGAGAGAGAAAGAGGACGGAAAAGGGAGAAAACCATTCCAGGGGCCAGCAGGGCTCCTTGGGGTAAGCTGAATTAAGTAAGAGATCGAGAAAAAGAAATAGAGAGAGCGAGGGGTGGAAAGGCAGAGAGGAGAGAGTAAATCAATGGAGGAGATTTGAGACAGGAAGACTATGGCGTCAGTACAGGCTGGAGATAAGGCCTTCAGTTCCATACACAAACACACTTGTTCTCTCGGGCCGAACAGCTACACATACTCTGTCTCACTGTCAACTGACCAGACACCCACAGGTCCTCTCTGCTGGTGCTTTTCATCACCGCTTAGGCACTGCTATAGGGAGTTTCTGCTCCTAGTTCCCCCTTGACTTCCCATGTTGAAATGGCTACCCCAGTGATTACAATTATGTTTCATTAAGATACTTTTCTTTAAGTTATTGTATGTGAGACTGTTTGTACTTTTTCATTCTAAACACAAAGTTATTCACACTCTTAAAAATAAAGGTGCTTCAAAAGGTTCTTCAAGCGATGCCATAGAAGAACCATTTTTGGTTCCACAAAGAACCATTCAGTCAAAGGTTCTTTAAAGAACCATCTCTTTCTTACCTTTTTGTAATCTGAAGAACCTTCTTTCACCACAAAGAACCTTTTGTCAAACAGAAAGGTTCTTCAGATGTTAAAGGTTCTTTATGGAACCATGTAGACAAAAAGGTTCTTCTATGGCATCGTGAAGCACCTTTATTTTTAAGAGTACAGTTCAGTTTAGCTCAAAACATAACATTATTCAGTTACTTTTCTCTGCCTCTAAACTCTCTTAATGTAAAGTTGAACTCCGGTCAAAACAGTAACAATAGATTGGCTGAACTCACATGTATTTTGTCCTTGAATAAGCAAGATCCACAACACTATAAGGTGAGGAAACACGGGCCTGACTGAGAAACGTGCGAGTCTGGCCAGAGGTCAGAGGAACTTTTCCTCAAAGATAAGCAAGAGAGACAGAGTATATACAGACTTAAGGAAAAAGCTACTTCTTTCAGGAAGAACCCTCTGCTTTGAAAGTAATGTTGAGTATGAGTTTACCAAGAATGTGTGCATGTTTTCGTGTGTGTTTTTGGCTCTGATTTGGACTGACACAGGAGCAGGAAAAACAGAGGAACTGAACTCCTCTACAAAAAAGATAACTTTGGGTTATTTTTCCCCCACTGCTTTCTTTCTGTCATTTCTGTATTCTGTTCCTCGTGACTTAAATATTATTGTATGATCACTGCCAACTTCATTATGTTAGCTAAATTACTCAAAAAGTACTTTCAAGGCTGCATTCTGAGGCACTGAGGTGCTATTTTAGTACCCCTTAAACCGCTGTAGTGTCTTTGGACTGAACATTGATCTGTGAGTAAACTGATCCTGTGTGGCTCTTTTTGTGTACTGTATCACAGCACACAACATCCTGAATGCTTCACAGAACAACACTGTTATACTATGATTATCACTGCAAAAATAATTTTAACCATAGGTTTTGTTGTTTTCCAGTAAAACTATTTAAACATTCTTGCAAACCAATTGTTTTCAAGTGTTCTCATTAGATTTATGCTTTAAAGTAAAAAAGGTAGGCCCTACTATTTTCAAAAAAGATATCAATATTTTAACAGTATTTTATTGAACAATATAAATGAAGGTGGATTTGGGGTTGTAGACTTGCCAAAGGAGTGATTGTCAGGATTAAATAAACATGGTCCTCCTAAGCGTTCATTGAGAACTAATTTTAACACATCACAATTATGTCAAGGTTAATATTTATCCTAAAATATCATATAACAACATTATGCAAACAGTCCATAATATGCTTTAACCAAGTTGGGAATAAAAAGAGAGACGTACATTTCTCTATTCTTCCTTTTCTCTGATTGTGTACTATGGTCATCTGGGGAATACTTTGCATTCTTTCTCTCCTGAGGAAGTTTTCCACTCCTTTACTTACCAGACTCTTTCTATACACAGCTTTAGATTTCTGAGAGGCCAGGGTGGTGGGCACAAAGCAGTGACAGTTCCAGATTTTTCTGAGTAACAATTTCTCTGTGATTGAAGATTTCTGAAGATATATCTCCATTAGAGAAGGCTAAAAGTAAAGACAAAGAGAAAGTTACTTAATGTAAGGAATAGGTATTGTGGGTAATGAATTCATGCAATTTGTGTGTTTGTGTGTATTCCTGCATGTTTCTGGAAGGAGCGGGTGGGATGTTTTTATGGCGTGATTCATTCAACTGTTTCTAAATCTCTCCCTGATTGCTGTATATTGAATTCCCAGCATTTGGCAAGTCAACAACTCTCCCACTAGTTCATAATTCTTGAGAATAAAATGTAAGCCCTCAGTGAGAAAAGGAGAGAGGGAGAGGATGTGTTTTTTAAGAACTTGGTTTATATCGCAAGTAATTGCATGTGATTCTTCTCCCAACTTCAAAGCGAGTGGCTCTGCAGTTCAGGGTTGGGAGGCCAGACCACTACCAGATCAGCTCTCAATTTCCTGTCCCTGCCTGGCTCTGAGCAGAGAGAGAAGATTTGAGGCAGAAACATGTGAAATACAGAAGAGAGATTTACAGATTTGTTTGTGACTGTTACAAGTTTCAGCATCAAAAAGTTGAACATTTAACTTAAAAATGTACTTCATGTTCTAACATCTAAATTAACCATTTTTATTCAAGTCAAAGCAATGATACGCCAATGAATATACCAATGTAATACTTATTACGGGCCAAATCAAGCAGAAGTAAATGATAAACACAACAACTGTACTTTCACTGTTAATTCTTTACAATTTATCCATCTTCATAGGAAGAACATGCACAACACAACTGTTTTTGAAGTTGCTAGATTTAGGGCCTCACAAATCAACCAATCACAACAGAGAACAGACTGCACAGCATAACTTTGAATTTATGAATATGAATTTATGAAAATAAATAAGAAAAGAATTGTTATTATGTATATTAATATTGGTGGGTGTTCATTTACTGTTATATTTCATGGTCAATACAGACACAAACTCAAACACAGGGTTTCAGTTCTGCTACATCTCACATGGGCTAACTAATCAAATCCTTCTCTATGAACTATTTTCCTTTCAAGCATTTCTGTTTTATCATTTCAAGTTTTTCCTTTGCCTGTATCCGTGACATAGACCAGTAGCCTATCATATATTTATCATCTATGTGAGATAAGAAAAGACATACATCAGGTGGCCCAGGGAGGAGCGTGACAGATAAAGCTTTATCAGTAGGTTCAGGACCGTTTTTATATGAAATCCAAATATGAGCTATCTAAAATCAAAAAGTTGAACATTTAACTTAAAAATGTACTTCATGTTCTAACATCTAAATTAACCATTTTTATTCAAGTCAAAGCAATGATACGCCAATGAATATACCAATGTAATACTTATTACGGGCCAAATCAAGCAGAAGTAAATGATAAACACAACAACTGTACTTTCACTGTTAATTCTTTACAATTTATCCATCTTCGTAGGAAGAACATGCACAACACAACTGTTTTTGAAGTTGCTAGATTTAGGGCCTCACAAATCAACCAATCACAACAGAGAACAGACTGCCCAGCATAACTTTTAATTTATGAATATGAATTTATGAAAATAAATAAGAAAAGAATTGTTATTATGTATATTAATATTGGTGGGTGTTCATTTACTGTTATATTTCATGGTCAATACAGACACAAACTCAAACACAGGGTTTCAGTTCTGCTACATCTCACATGGGCTAACTAATCAAATCCTTCTCTATGAACTATTTTCCTTTCAAGCATTTCTGTTTTATCATTTCAAGTTTTTCCTTTGCCTGTATCCGTGACATAGACCAGTAGCCTATCATATATTTATCATCTATGTGAGATAAGAAAAGACATACATCAGGTGGCCCAGGGAGTAGCGTGACAGATAAAGCTTTATCAGTAGGTTCAGGACCGTTTTTATATAAAATCCAAATATGAGCTATCTAAAAGAAATCTTGGTCCAGACAGACTGGCCAGTTTTATTATCTCTAGAGTGCATGGTTTTGGACCTTCACACATCTAGGACAAAATCTATTGACTTAAACCATGAAAGAAGCTGTTATGTTCACATGCATGGACTGTGTTTTACTTATTCTCTTCTCTAATATGCACACATACACAAGCAAATAAAAACATACATACGCTCATAGAAAAATATTCTCCACAAATTACTAAGATTGTTTATTTTTATAAAGTTATGAAACATAATTTCTGTTTCTATAAAATGGTGGCACTGGCAAGTCTCAAGTCACTCCAAGTGCCTGAGGTGAACTGTGCTTGGTTTTAGGCCCATGAATGGCACACCACAAGCTCTAGATTACAGCTTCATGGTCCCTCTCACAGTCCATAGCTGGGATTGGCAATAACATGTGAATGCAGACCAGCTCTAATTTAAGCATCCACATTTATACGCCCATAATGGGGGTCAGTATAAGCACTTCTGGAGCGGGCCGAGACTGTCCAGAGCTCTCTTTCCAGAAGGCAACACATTATTCCCAAAACAGCCCAAATAACTCTTTCCAGAAGGCTATACATTATTGCTATGAGAATGAGGCATTGCTGTATTCATAGCCTATAACGCAAAACCATGTCTAATTAATTCAATGAAATTCATGCATGAATTAAATAAGTTTGAAATCTAAGACCATAATCTGTTAATGAACTTAGCGTTTATTAATCATATTCTAATTGACTGTGCATTGGACGAATGTGTAGCACTATCTAAAATTTAACAAAATGCCAAAACAACATTCACAAATTCACACACACACACACACACACACACAACCTGAGCGAGAAATAAGTAGGCTATGGAGGGTTTTGAAATGACCTGGTAGTGCATATCTCTGCAGCCAGGCAAGAGGGCTGTGGCATGCCTGTGTTATTGAGTAAACTACTTTGGCCTGTGTTTGTGTTTGATAGGATCAGGGGTTCAGTGGGTGGCACAGGACTCTGGTAACCGAGTACTGAGGCTTTAAAAACTCCTTGCTGTTTTATGGCCTTTTTCTTCAGCCCAGCCTCCAAGCAGCCTCCATGCTGAAGGGCAGGACTGAAATGTAAACATCCAAACATGCTCGGGCCCTTTTAAAAGGCTGTTTTCCAGCCTCCACTCTTAATTGGAAACAGACAGTGGCTTTGTATGCAGAGGTGGGGTTAAAGTTCAGACGCTACACTGACAGGCTGCAAATCCCACTCACAATTTTTGATGTGATGTCTCACTCGTTCAAACAAATTAAAGGTTATATAGCTCATTATATCTGTATCAATGATTACTAGAATATGAGTATGTTTCGTAAGGGTGACATAATAGGCTATGTATGGATAAGAAATATTTACTTGAGTTTGAAATTATTTATATGTATATTCCACCTTAATTCTTCCTCCAAGAAAAAAATAGTCCACGACAACATACAAAGCAATCGGGCTAGTGACAAGATTAGCACGGCAACAATATTTCAGCACTTACTGAAGTCCTCTGTGGTCATGTTCACTACAATCGAGAACTGAGACCAGTGTTGCCAACTAACTTTCAAGGGAAGTTGCTAAAGGAAGGTTGATTCTTCTTCTTCTTCTTCTTCTTCTTCTTCTTATATTTTTATGGCGGTTGGCATCCAGCGTATTGGTGCATTACCGCCACCTTCTGCTCCGGAAGGAAGGTTGATTCTTCTTCTTCTGGTGTTTTATGGCGGTTTGGCAAACCAGCGAAAGAGGTGCATTACCGCCACCTACTGATCTGGAGTGTGGAGTGTGCATAAATTTGGAAGAAAGAAATACAGAAGGGAAAGAAAGGAGAAAAAAAAAGAAAAGAAAAAAAAAAGAAAAGAAAATAGATCCTATCTATTGTTCCTGCGTTTTTCAGGTATTTAAACATATTTTCTTGCACTCTTGATTGCCTCGACCCATTTCCTAACAATACTTTTAAAGAAATATTATCAACTCCCAGCCATCCTAATTCTTGAATTAATTGAAATCTCTCCCTTTCATATGCAGAACACTCAACAAGAATATGTTTCACTGTTTCTAATTCTCCACATTTGTCACACTTTCCCGATTCATGCTTACCTATTTTATAAAGACTATAGTTTAATGCTGTATGTCCGATTCTTAGTCTTGATAAGATGACATCTTTCTTCCTATTTCCGTATCTTTTCCTCTCATTTCCAACACACTCCTGAATCTGGAAAAGATGTCTTCCTTTAGACCCATTATTCCATAACTTTTGCCACTTCTTACTTATGACATATGATATCACTCTCTTGAATTCAGCTTTACTTAAAGCTAACTTAATTTCTATTTGTGTATGATTT